CCGCGTCCCAACGCGGCCTGGCGGGAATGCGGAAGTGGAGCTCAGGTCGCCAAACGAAGGACAAGAAGCTAGAAGATCGCGCCGATGTTTACCAGATAAACCATGCTTTAAGAGAAGTCTTATTCTCACCTGGATTCCTGCTCGTTTACCTCTTTTCCTCCGACGTTTTCCCGGGACTGGACAAACATCGCTAGAGGTGCGCAGCTCTGGATCATTGTTTGGTTCCGGGCCAGTGTGCCGCTCAGGTAAACAAACAGGATGGTAAATCCTCGGTGCATCTTGGGCGATCGTGAACGAACGGAAGGACAAAAGAGTCTGGCGATCATAGGAGATGGTAGAAGGGACACTACTGAAGAGGATCACAGACAGGAGCAAGGTGGAAAGAGGAGGTTAGTGGAGAAAAGTTTGAAAAAGTGGCCGGTGACCGCGGCTAAGCCAAGCACAGGCGCCATCGTGTTGCCGACCGGAAGAACACAGCCCATGTAGCAAGGGCCCAAAGCAGAAGCTTTGCAGAACAGCCACACCCCAGCAGAACATCTTCTCCCGTCCCCGCATTTGGTCAACTTCCAGACTAAAGCCTAAATTATACTTCTCCATTTGTGTCGGGACGGACGCACGCAATGCCATTATCCGTCCTTGCGAGCCTGCTGGAGAGCCCTCTCAAGGACGGACAGAGTCGAGCTCTCTTTTCTAAACATCCATCTGTCGAGATGGAGAACACAAGCTTGTGATTGGTCAGGGCACATCTGTTGTCTACACCGCTGGCATTGCGCCCTCAAAAACAGAAAGAGAGACGAGGATAACTAGCGGCAGACACGGAGAAGCTTGAAGATTACCTCGAGAAAAAAACTCTAAAAATATGAACATTTAATTCCCCCGTGACTGGAGGAGTGAAAAGATGCGCAACAAGCGTTTGATTTGTGGAAAGAAATGACAGGAAACATGGGTGTTATGAAAAAATTTATGGTTATTAATTCTTGATCATGGACTCAATCAACTGTAGCGTCATGAAGGGCCTCCAATTTGCGACAAAGGTCACGTTTTCCCATCTAGGTCAAGCTGGGTCGTCTGTAACTTTGCCCCACAGATTAAACAAGCGAGGAGCCATGATGTCTGCTGAACATCATCTTTATCTGCTGCTGTTCCGTCCCAGAGTGAAGGACACTTCAAGTTTCACAATAATAATTCGAAATAATAATTTTAGACCTGGCAGACCCAAACGCATAGTGAGGGTCTGCTGGGAACGCCTGGCAGAAGAAACTGTTAAGACGGTCTGCAACTCCCACCTCCGGCAGAGCTTTGACCACGTCCCGAGAGCAGTGGGGGACATTGACTCCGAGTGGGCCTTGTTCCACTCTGCGATTGTTGAGGAGGCTGTTGCTAGCTGTGGTCACAAGGTGGCCAGTGCCAGTCGTGGTGGCAACCCCCGTACCCGCTGGTGGACGCCAGAGGTTCGGGGAGCCGTCAGGCTGAAGGAGGAGGCCTACAGGGCGTGGCAGGTCTGTGGGTCTCCAGAGACAGCAGACAGGTACCGGATAGCCAAGCGGGATGCAGCAGTGGCAGTTGCCGAGGCAAAATCTCAGGCGTGGGAGGAGTTTGGTGAGGCCATGGAGAAAAACTATCGATCGGCTCCAAAGAGGTTCTGGCAAACTGTCCGGCGCCTCAGGAGAGGAAGGCAGCAACTCGATCACACTGTTTACAGTGGGCTGCTGACGTCAACTGAGGCTATAGTCGGACTGTGGAAGGAATACTTTGAGGAGCTCCTCAATCCCACCAATGCGCATTCCGAGGAGGAACCAGAGCCGGGAGACCTGGGGATGGACTGTCCAATCTCGGGGGCAGAAGTTGCTGAGGTAGTCAAACAATTACACAGCGGCAGAGCCCGGGGGGTGGATGAGGTTCATCCTGGGAATCTCAAGGCTATGGATGTTGTATGGCTGTCATGGTTGACATGTCTCTGCAACATTGCATGGTCATCAGGGGCAGTTCCTGTGGAGTGGCAGACCGGGGTGGTGGTCCCCATCTTTAAGAATGGTGACCTGAGGGTGTGTTCCAACTATAGGGGGATCACACTCCTCAGCCTCCCTGGAAAGGTCTACTCCAAGGTACTGGAGAGGAGGGTCCGATCGATAGTTGAATCTCAGATAGAGGAGGAGCAATGTGGTTTTCGTCCTGGCCGTGGAACTGTGGACCAGCTCTATACCCTTGCAAGGGTGAAGGAGGGGGCATGGGAGTTTGCCCAACGAATCCACATGTTTTGTGGATTTGGAGAAGGCTTATGACCGTGTCCCCAGGGGCACCCTGTGGGGGACGTTCCAGGAGTATGGGGTGGGTGGCTTTCTGTTAAGGGCCATTCAGTCCCTTTACCAGAGGAGCGTGAGTTTGGTCCGCATAGCTGGCAGTAAGTCGGACCTGTTCCAAGTGAGGGTTGGACTCCGCCAGGGCTGCCCTTTGTCACCAGTTCTGTTCATTACCTTTATGGACAGAATTTCTAGGCGCAGCCGTGGTGTGGAGTGTGTCGAGTTTGGTGGCAGGAGAATCTCGTCTCTGCTTTTTGCGGATGATGTGGTCCTCCTAGCTTCATCCAGCTCTGACCTTCAGCTCTTGCTGGGTAGGTTCGCGGCCGAGTGTGAAGCGGCTGGGATGAGGATCAGCACCTCCAAATCTGAGACCATGGTTCTCAACCGGAAAAGGGTGGCTTGCCAACTCCAGGACGGGGGAGAGGTCCTACCTCAAGTGGAGGAGTGTAAGTATCTCGGGGTCTTGTTCACGAGTGAGGGTAGGAGGGATCGGGAGATCAACAGGCGGATCAGTTCAGCACCTGCAGTGATGCAGACGCTGAGCCGATCTGTCGTGGTGAAGAGGGAGCTGAGCCAGAAAGCCAGGCTCTCGATTTACCGGTCGATCTACATCCCAATCCTCACCTATGGTCATGAGCTTTGGGTAATGACTAAAAGAACGAGATCGCGGATACAAGCGGCCAAAATGAGTTTCCTCCGTAGGGTGGCCGGGCTCAGCCTTAGAGATAGGGTGAGGAGCTTGGACATTCGGGAGGGACTCGGAGTAGAACCGCTGCTCCTCCGGATCAAAAGGAGCCAGTTGAGGTGGTTTGGGCCACCTCTATCAACATTGTGTTGTTTAACTGTGTGTGGGAAAACAACATTAGGAAAAAATCAGTTTAATCAAATAAAAATAAAATGGTTCTAGTATTTCATATTTCCTAGTTCCTACTGCATGAGTTCAGATGTATTAATCCATGCACTTAAATATTAATGTTCTGATTTTATTGAAAAACTTGTTCTGTAACAGTTCCTTTACTATTGTGATCAAACATAATTAATCTCAGTTCTGATGCTGCTCTGTAAATAGTTTTCAGATAAACAATACACATAGCAACTTCTGATGAATCCATATCAATTTCAGATTTAAAATACCGTATTGATGTAAACCACACCCACTCATTTCCAAATAATAAATAAGAGGTGCATTCATCTGTGTATCTCCTCTGATCCACCTGAGTGATATTTTCAGCACCAGAACAGTGAAGCAAAGAAACAGATTCCTGAGTTTATGTCAGTAATTTTATTTATTAGGTGCATCTGACCTGTTCTATTTTTCTCTGAAATGAGATCAGATCAGTGCTTCTATGGGTCGTCTCCTCTCTGCACTAGAAACATGTACTTTATTATAATGTTCACCGTAATGCATCTTGATGTTCTTAACAAATAAATTAAATCAAAGATATTGGTCAGTAATGCCAAATATGTAAATTTGTGTTTCAGTCATTTTTATACTGGCTTAAAAATACTTCATTAAGTCTACTAAGCAGGGGTGTAGCAGGTGTCTAACAGGGCCAGCCCACTAATGGTCTTGGACCAAAACACAGGGGGCAGAAGGAGATGTTTTTCCAGACGCCAAGAAAAATTAAATGCCAACCCCCCCCCCCCCCCCCCCCCCCCCCCCGCAAAGTGTGTCACTGAGAGTTTAAAACAAAAATTATTCTTGTGCAAATATTGGTGTATTCACCTTTAATACTAGTTATTAAAATGCAGCAGTTGCTGGATTGGTGCAGTTCAAAGTGGAGTGCATCACATAAAACAATATTATCATGAAGGTGAGACGTATCATACCCCCCACCCCCACCGCACAGCTGGAAAAATTCCTAGGGGAAACACTGAACCTGCAGCATTTCGCAGGCCACCATCTTCATTCATGTTGTTTGTGTTGTTCTGTGTTTCAAATCTCGCTCCCACCGGATACCTTCTTGCCACAATGTTAATTTTCCCCCTGCTTTTCCGACATTTGCGTAATCATGACACCATCAATATACACGTAATAAGTGCAGTACGTGAGGTACGTGTTGAAGTAACAAGACCATTTTGAAAATGTAAGGAGTGGAAAGTACAGATATTTGTGCTCCAATGTTGGGTGTAAAAGTAAAAAGTAACGTTCAGATACCTAAAAAAACTACTTAAGTACCGTAACAAAGTATTTGTACTTCATTACTTCCCACCTCTGAGTTTCACCTGAAAACACTGATGCTCTCCCTTCATAGACCCCATTGATGGTGAGTGGCTCGATGTCATCCTTGCTCTTTCTACATCCAATTACAAGCTCTTTACTTTTGTTGGTGTTGAGGAGCAGGTTATTGACCCGACACCATTCTTGACACTTGCACCTGCTTGAAATGAGACCAAACACTGTTGTGTCATCTGCAAAGCTAATGATTCTATTGATGTTACAGACGGAGACACAGTGCTGTGGCTAAGCACACGACCCTGTGGTGTACCGATGTTGAGTCTCTGTGGCTCCTGGTGGAAGTTCAGTATCAACAGAATTGCAGATGAGTTATGAGAGTGAATATTTGGATTTCTTGTCAGGTTGCTCACGAAGCTTTATAACAATTTGACTTAGTTCTTATTGCTTGAGTTATAAGCTTATTATAAAGCCATGAGTTAATGTAAACGAAGGGATGAAACCAGTTTGAAAGGTGCACTCACACTTGTCCATCCAGTAGATTTTGGGAGGAGTAGAACTCTCTGGAGGGTTGCAGGTGAGGATAAGACTCTCTCCCTCATATTTGGTCTCCTCTAGCTTGTTTTGTTTGACCAGAAATGGATGAGCTGAAACACAAAGCAGCACTGAGATTAACTATAGATTTCCTTCAAAAAATTCTGTTCAGATGGTAATTATTTTGTTTAAAAACCACCAAACCCTTAATGGGGCCAGTGTCTGTATACAGACACATCCACTCACATCATAAATTATGTCTTGCATCTTTTCACAAGCCCTTAAAATTACAGGACTTCACCCAACTAATGATCAGACATAAAGCTAGTCACACCATGGTGCAGATCTATGACATGCCAAATATTGGTGTGTCTGCAGAACTAGAAAACAGCCTTCCTACACCTCAGTCTCTCCTTGGGTTCACAGCCAGATTTCTACAACTAACAATGGTAGGTTTATGAAAATCCCATGTTACAAGGTTAACTAGTTGTGCAAAATGAGGATGTATGTGTTTTAAATATTAAACTCAACAAATTTGGTCAAATCATAGCATGAAAGGCTGCCATATTTGACCAAATCGCCACAAACAAGTAAATGCAATTAAGCATATTTTTACGTAAAATCTAAGATTATTTAATAACATTAATAATGATGTTAGCAGTAATGATGGTGCCCTCTGCTTTGACAGACCGTTGATGTGAGGTCGTCCTCCTTTCATCACTTCCAGCGCTTTCAAGAAGTGATTTTGAGGTTGTCATTCATATTTGTTTTAGTGCACGCCTGGACTACTGTAATGTTTAAAGCAGTGAATGGGTTGGCGCTGCCTTACTTGGCAGCCTTACAACAACATTATGCCCCCGCTTGGACGCTCTGCTCAGACAACCTCTGCTGCTCTCGGTCCCGATGTGGTGCTTGAAGGTGAGAGGGGATAGGGCATTTTCAGAAGCAGGTCCGAAGCTATAGAACGAGCTTCCCCCGTTCCAAAGGGCTTCTACCAGAGAAGTCAGAAATGCATCAGAGGTTTACAACCCACCCCTCTCCATCAGATTAAGAAGACAAATGTCCTCCAGGACACTTCAGTGTGCCCTGCTCACTCTATTTCAAACAAATCCACACACGCACACACGTAGAACAATATATTAAAAAAAATAATAATATACTTGCATAAACATTTAGTAATGTATATACATTACAACTTAGACATATTATTACTTAGATTAGCCATTTTTATATTTTATTTGCATAACTCTGTTGCTGTGAAGCTCGCACACAAGAATTTCACTCGCATGTACTGTACCAGTGTACCTGCACATGTGAACGTGACAATAAAAGTGATTTGATTTGATTTTTGATTTGAAATCCTTTTTTAAAATAAGCTGTTCACCAGAGAAAGGCTGGACTATTTATACCTTACAGAGATGTGCCAGCAAGATGGGAATGTTTTACCCTCTAAAGCCTGCCGCACACGAGAGCAAACTGTTGATCAAACGGCCTCGAATGACCATTTGTTCAGGAGATACCTCACTGTGTGCGCCTGATTTTCACTGAGTTTTCCACCTAACGAGACGCTGAGGCGAATATCCAATCGGTTTGATATTTTCCACCTCACATTGAGTAAAAACTCATCGTGTGCGCATTACTCAGCTGGCTGCTGGCTGAGCTGAAATAATCTAGTGGCCAATCAAAGTGCATTCTCTGCTCACATGATTCCAAAATGTATTCAGATGCAGCCTCCTGTCCTGTCCGTGTCAGAAAAATAAAGAAAGTGGTACCTTGCGGATCGATGGGCCCACTGTTTCCATTACGCTCTTGAAGGATCCAGGATCCCGGTGGCGGTGCTGTCAGATGAATTCTGGGTTTTAAAGGGTTAGAACATCTCTTGGAGTAGATTAGCATAAACTTCTTTCCTGGCCCTTCTTTTCAGCCACCGTACCCATACACTCCTAACCTTGAAATTAAGGTGGCGGCAACACCTCATCAGCAAAAAAGTAGAGGCATTTCCTCTGTTTCTCTGTCTCTATTTTGTTAATTTTCTGACATGCAGACAGGGGGCTGCCATCTTGGGCTCATGTGAACGGAGAACGCGCTTTGATTGGCCACTAGAATATTTCAGCTCAGCCAGCAACTCACGTAGTGTGCATATGGCGAGTTTTTAACCCTTGTGAGGCAGAAAATATTGAACCGGTCAGATAATCACCTCAGGTCCCTGAGGTCCAGTGATCAAAGCCTACTGGTTGTGCAGCACCAGGCTAAAGACCAAAGGTGACAGATCATCTGCTGCTGTGGCCCCCAGACTCTGGACCTCTCTCCCCCTGAGCCTAAGATCAGTGGACTCAGTGGTCTCCTTTAAACTCACCTGTTCAGGCTTTGGTGGGACCTTCATCACCCCCCCCCCCCCCCCCTCTCCTTGTTCTGCTCCTATTCTGCCTTTCCTGGGATCCACTCATTTCCCTCTTTCCTGTTCATTTCCTCTCTCACTTTCCTTAAAAATATTTTATCACAATTTTAATTGTTTTCTTATTTTAAACATTGTAGCTTCCAGAAATGGTCAGTTTTTCATCTAGTTGGCCTCTCCAGTATCGGGTCATATGGAGACATATGTCTTAACTGGAACCTTTAATCTGCAAGAAAGATACTGGTGCCTGACCAAGGTCCCTCTCAAGTTCCCTCTTATCTTTATCTGCTTTGCTTCACAGAACAAGAAGAATGAACTTTTACAATGAATGAACAATGTGATTAAATAATAATAATGTTTGGATTAATCTGTGCTTAAATTACTGAAGTCGAAATGAATATGATTATGTTGTTTATGTTTATTTATTTAGCAGACGCTTTTATCCAAAGCGACTTACAGTTTATAACCTATAGGGAGTGTTGTGATCTGTGGGGGAAACCGGAGTACCCGGAGGAAACCCACGCATGCATGGGGAGAACACGCAACTCCATGCAGAAAGGCCGCAGCCGAGTTTCGAACCTGCAACCTTCGTGCTGCGAGGCAACAGTGCTAACCACTGCACCACCATGCAGTTGTTGTGATCAGTAAAGTTTGATTTAGCAAGTGAATCACTATCTACTGACAGCTCACACACTCACATGACGATGACAAGGTAAAACTAATCTCAAGACACACTGCTTTCTGTTCCACAAATCAAAACTGCTGTATCTGATGTAAGGTGTGGTTTCTGAGGTTTGTTGGTAAAACCATTTACATGTCAAATTCTGATTGGCCATGTAATCAAAATATGGCCATCATTAAAACATAACTCACTTCCTGAGTGAGTCAATTGAGCCTAACTCTGGCCATCGGAGGAAAACTCTTCTCCCATCGCATCTTTTGACATGCTGTCAAAACCTGTTGCACACTACAGCTGACCGCAAAAGGGTTCTTTCAGAATAAAGCTGACACAGCTCCAACTCCTTAAGAGTCTTCCATAGACACAAATAACTACCTGTCATGACCTGGAAACAACTCTAAGACCGGTCTAGTGGCACTGCGGTATATTCTACGGACTTCGGTACCTTTGGGGTCCACGGACTTCAACACATTCCGGATCTACCACGGGGGTCTTCGAAGGGTACGTAGACTCGACAGATTGCGTCTGATGTGGTTTTATAAACCCTCACTTATAGTTTATAGCAGACCAAATTCACTCCCACTCAGAACTCAGTTTCTTCAGAGACGAAGGTTCTGATAACATCACATTCACACATCCTCACACCTCACATTCCATCCACTTAGGGCTGCATGGTGGCGCAGTGGTTAGCACTGTTGCCTCGCAGCACGAAGGTTGCAGGTTCGAAACTCGGCTGCGGCCTTTCTGCGTGGAGTTGCGTGTTCTCCCCATGCATGCGTGGGTTTCCTCCGGGTACTCCGGTTTCCCCCACAGATCACAACACTCCCTATGGGTTATAAATTGTAAGTCGCTTTGGATAAAAGTGTCTGCCAAATAAATAAACATAAACATAAACATAGATTCTGCCATCACATAAAGTGTTTCCTAGTTGTCATGTTTTTAAGTGTTTAGAAAATAAATTTCTTACTTTTTATAAACTTGACTCTGTCTGAATTAATACGAAGTGTGTTACGATCCCTGAATAAACAAATAATTCTAAATCTTCTGGTTAAACATTAAAAGATCAATCACATTGGATTTCCATATTTATATAGAAATTCACATATTATTGGTCAAACGTAGTGTAGTTTATTGAGCTTAAAAAGCACCCAAAATACATGCAGTATGTATGCTAACTCTACAACATATTTTTAAATCTTTTTTAAAAAAACTTTTAAATACTTTAAAAAATTTGTTTTTGTGAAGCGCCTCGTGATTTTTATCTTGAGAGGCGCTTGAAAAAAGATTATTTTCTTTCTTTCTTCTTTCTTTTCAATACTGCTCTCAATTATCCCCGCTCAGCTGTTCCTTCACGATGACACAACATGGGCGCTTGGGAACTGTTGGATCATGTGATAATAGCATCCTCTGACTGATGCGTTCTCCCAGGGTTAATAATTACGAAACACTGGAAGTTACCTTCTTATTCAAGATGAGTGCAGTTTCTATTCAACTTGGAATCACACAGTGTCAGCCTAACCCTAACCCAGCACACATGAAGATTCTGTTTAATCATGTTAGCTTCTCTCAGATTTATCAGAGAGGAAGCTGAGTAAAATGAGAACATTTTCAGAACACCTCTCAATCATGAGTCTTCTGGGAAACTGTTTACCCTCCATGTGCACAGCTGCGCTTACTCAGCACTAAAAGTACTCAAAGTACCCCCTCTTTCACCTAAAGTGAACTTTAAAAACTACCAAACAAGACTGGATTTCTTTTACAGCGCAGCACCTTACTTAGTTTGTATTTTTACTTGGTAATAAAGCAGTGTAACGGAATGAAATGACTGTTTTCCACCAAAAGTCCTTTTCCCCCTCTCCTCTGACACAGGACTAGTCTTCATGAGATACGGCCTCAAGGTCTCATGCATTTGCTTCTAAACTGCTTCTTTCCAGCTCAAGAGAAGAATGAAGAATGGACTCTCTCCTTTTAATAAATCAAAGAACTCTATTTTAATAAAGCTAATCAAACAAAGTGTTAGTCAATAATAAGATGTGACC